AGACTATACAATTAATTGCATATTATATTTAGAATTGATGAAAGTAAATACAACAATCACTAATAAAACAGATAAAACTAAAGAAAGAGGGGCAAATTTTTAATGATAAAAATATATACTTGCCAATAGATTCATAATATTTTTATGAATTATGAAATTCGCAGGTGTGTATTAAATTTCTGGGACTGACACAAAACATTTCTCGTTAATGTTTGAGATACAGATTGCACTGTAAAACAAAAAAAATTCATATTAAAACAATGTTTCTCCAACAGGTTTGTAGCCAACTATTTATATAAAATTCAATGACTTTTTTGAAAAATCAGATGAATTTCCCTGACCATTTTTAACAATGATTTTTACAAAATGTTTAAAATACTATCTACTGTTATGGAAATGGTAAGATTATACATGTTTTGAATGACAAAACTTATAAAACTTAGGCATTAGTTAAGTTGGATATTAGTATGGATCTTATTATACATGTTAGTATGGATCTTATTATTAAGGATCACTATGAATAAACACTAAGAAAAACATAAGTTTCAGAAAAAATAAATGGGTAGCACCAAAAAAAACATAATAGCTTAATTGAGCGCTGTATTTTGAAAATGTGACAAGTCACAAAATTAAAATTTTACAAGAGAGTGAAAAGCATTTCTCCTGTAAAAAATTTTATTTTTATTTTATCTAAAAATTGCTTCTTTTATCAAAAAAAATCTTTATTTTATCTAAAAAAAAATCTTTATTTTATCTAAAAAAACTCTTTATTTTATCTTATAATTTTATCTTTTCCTAAAAAAAAATATTCTTTTCAAATAACCTCACTTTTAAAAAAAGTGTGACTCTTCACGTTTTTAAAATACAGCATTCAATTGTGAAACGAGATCAAACAAACGAGTAACTTCTTAAATAGAATTACTGACTTTTCCATGACTATTTAAATTAAAAAATAATTCCCTGACTTTTCCAGGTTTTCCACAACTTTGGCTAATATTAAAATATTTTCCAGATTTTCCAGGTATAGTACAGACCTTGCCCAATGTTTGTAAATAATTTTTTTTACATATTTTAGTTCTGAATTTTAATAATACAATTTTTAAGAATAATATCTATAAAAATGTTGTATTACCTTCGTCTATTAGATAAATTTAAATAAACGTTTATATAATAAATAATAATGAACCACCAGCAACTGTTACAACTTCAAACTAATATGAATACTCTGTTGTTTTTTTTAAATGGATTTCAAAGTTGGTGACACCAACTTTGAAATCCAACAAAAAAAAATTTATGTTCATAAACTTAAATGTTCTCAAAACGACTAAAAAACCTGGCCAGTTTTTTGCAACTAAATATAATTTTGGTGGTCAGTATTCAAGAGTGATCGCTCCCGCTTCCTGACCAAGCCTGTGGTATAAGCTTTGATATGTTGATTATTATACAATTAAATATTAATTAACACTCTGACTTATTGACCGTAATATATGAAAAAGTCTTTAAAATTGTAAAAGTTAAAGCTATGAATAAAGATTTTCAATCATCAGACATAAAGACTTTTATATAAAAACTTACCATTTAATAAATTTTGTTCATTTAACTTCTCAGAACAAACATTGAACTTCTGTAAAGAGTTTGGAGTTACAGGTAAATCCTCAAGTTTAATAATATTTTTTGTTTTATTATAAGAAATTGAGGGTAAATCATCTACACCAAGATATACACAATTTTTTGTCTCTTTAATCTTTATTTTGGCTGGTCATTTTCGCTGTCTTCCTTTTTTGTCTCCAGAGCAGAAGTTTAGCCTTCTGCTAAATTCAATCTTGTATTGCTATAAAAATCTTTAAATCAAATCATTAATAATTAAGTTATAACTAAAGTTAATGTATAAGCTTAAAGTTGTTAACTGTTGTATGCAAACTAATTATGAAAAATATCCAGAGATATTAAATTAAAAAATAATAAAACCAAGAATAATGTCCCTCTGCCTCAGAAAGATGGAATATATAAAGGGTTGTTTCGATTTAAATCATGATTTAAATCAGACAAATAAAAATAATGATTTAAATTGAGTTTTTTTATTGTATTGTTTTTAATGATTATTTATTGATTTAATCTCATAATTCAATCAATATTATAGACTAGTCATTGTTATTAAAACGTCTGGCAATATTAGAAAGCTCTACATAAGTAGAATATAAATTCTAGCAATATCACTTTTTGTACACTGTTTTATTATGCTAGTAGATGGGGTTTCACAATCTAACACAGAAAAAATCAAACAAAAAAGACACACTTAAAATGTAAAATATAAGCTTCTAACAACTTCAATGCCACATATATTATTAATACCTTTAATAATATATCTTATAATAGCTATATAATCTAAACTATTATAAATAAATTATGAAAAAAAAAAATTTAATACTTATACTGTACGACATTTCAAATGTTTATTTAATAAAGAAGACATTTAAAATGTCTTCTTTATTAAATAAATCGAACATTTGAAAAGTTTCATTTATTTAATAAAGATTATTAAATAAATCAAACATTTGAAATACCAATACAACAATAAGTATAAAAAAATATCTTTAAGATCTTTCACAAAAATAATTTGATTATTGCCTTTATTATTACATTAATAATTTAGATTGTAGTAAAAAATGTTTTAAGCATATTATTTAAATGTTAACAAATATTTCATTATTTAAAAAAACAAAACATTAAGTCACGAGAATCTCTTGAAATTTATTTCTTATAAGGAACCTTTTAGGATTCATAGAAGATTCATAAATATACCTTCTTTTTTTTTATTTTTATAATTTAAAAAAATGGAAAGATAATATCAAAACCTTTTTTTATTCTGTCAAACGATACCATTTTTAAAAATGTTTTGCAACA